GTCGTAGTCGTAACAATAGTCGACTATGATTGGTCAATTCTTGTGTGTCTGACGAAATTGACCAATCGACGAGGAGCGACGCGAAGACACGCGGAACGTCCGTCTCGCTCGACTGATGCGCGCCGAAAGATTCGACACAATAGACTGTTTTCGACCGAGGCGTTTACGTACGCAAGATCATTCACGCGGCGACAGATCGGTTATTGTGCCCACTCCGCTTCGCATATCGTATTATTCTTTCTTGATGCGTACTGTACTAAATCGTTTTAATAACATTAGAATAGAGGAAATTTGATACAAGTTTGTACACGTATGTACTAAAAAGCATCATCTATTCCTTTCTTTTGAAATTAATTTTAGGATGACATGTTGACTACATTAGTACGACCTAGAAGTTCTGCGACAGTGTTGACAAGCTTGAAGGAGATGTTTTTCATCAATATATGGCTTTTGATCCCGGCGTTCTGTAGTGCCAATTGATATAAATCAGCATAAAACTGTCGAAAAAAGCACTTTTAAGTTATTTTTATTATATTTATAATATATTTTTTAAACACGTTAATTTTTCTGGTGCATTATCTCAAGGAATATTTGGCACATTTTATATTCTTGTTTACTTAATATTTCTTTTATAGTTTACAAATACGCGCGCTAAAAGATAAATTAATTTTAATTTCGATTAATAATGTTTTTTGTATATTATCTTTTGGCAAAATTGTTGGAAATATTAATAAGACATGTATACATGTGCTTAAAAAAGAACTCCTGATGTGTTATACATTTATTAAACTATTAAAGTAAATAATTAATATCAGATAACTAATTATTTTTTGATATTAAAAACTTTTGAATAAAATTTAATATTACCTTCGAGTTCTCGCCATCTAATGGTACATTAGAAAATTCCGAACTCACTTCGGTGCAGGATACTGTCATCGTTTGCAACGGAGTTATCAAAAGAGTTAAATTCGTTCGCTAAAAATTTGAGACTTATATAGAAATGTGATATTTTAGTAAAAAATTAAAATTTTTTATATTTTAGTCTTCATTATTTGACGAAAGAAAAAAAATTTTTTAATAAAGTAGTACACACAGTCTTCTTGTACGTTATAGTTGTTTATCGTTTTAATTTTAGTTTTATTGAGAAATAAGAAATAAATAGAAAACAATATTAGAATTATTATTAACTTTAAGTTAGGATAAAAGTAGTTTCTAGCGAATTATTATACTCTTTCTTAATAAAGGCAAAATAATTGAATGCCCTACTTCTTTTGCGACGCATCCATGGAGTTCTTTGAATTGTATCACGATTTCTCTGGAATTTCGACTAGCATTCCAACGAGACCAGGAGAATGTATACGCCGTGCAAAGTAGTGCCATACATTCTCGTAGATGTCTCTCAGTTACCGGATGTTTCACCGGAAGAGCTTTCACATAACTAAAGGCATCTCGCTCTGGAAATAGATCGCATCCAGCATCGCGCATTTTCTGCGGGAGAGGAATGTTTTATCTTAATAAGGAATCGCTATTTTCTATTTAAATGTCTTTTAGTCCTATAAAAGTGTGGAATGGTTGTCACAGTATTGATGTTTTGAAACTTTTCGCATTATTGCAAGAATTATTTGAAAGGAATGAGAAATTTTTACCTCGATCAAAATATGCAGCTTCATATATTCTCCAATTATCTCTTTAAGCGCCGTTGATGTACCACCAGCCAATGAATTTAAGCAAACTAAGTCTTCCTAGGAAAATCAAAGACTGATAAGTATACTCGTATATGTATATAGATATAATTCATACCTTCTCAGAACAGAATAAAATAAGACATCTTATATAATAAATTTAGAAAAGAAATACGCTTTTATGTAAAACAATACTTGTTAAATTTATGGAAAAATATTAAGATTTTGTATTATTTTTTCTATGGAACATTTTATATTAAAGTTTCCCTTTTCCATGTCTGTCCTTTGCACAAAATTTGTATCTTGGTATATAAATTATTTAGCCAATTTGATAAATAATTCGGTAAATAAAGTTTTGTGAAAGCACTCCAAAAAATATATTAATAAAATAATACCCTGATTATGAATTCTACTTGAACGATGGCAGCGGACACATTAAGTACAATACCACCGCGGGCGTTTCTGCCAATTTCAGGTTTCAGTTCCCAACTTTGAAAAGGAATGTTGATAAATTTAAAACTAGCGAGGCCATGAACGCCTAATCTACCGGTTCTAAATGTCATAGTTTGCTTCTCCTCGTTGTACTTAATATCATGTACATCCTGTGTAGACCATATTTTCCTCTCAGGTATCCAGTGTGCCACTAATGGCGGTTCAAACCAAATAATAGAGCTGGGAAGTCTGTAAAAGAATATCATTGAAGTATGATTTAGCGTAATAAGTGTAAGATACATACATATTTTAATTGCATCACATTTGGTGTATCATCGTTAAAGCTGTTCACTTTTAATCATTTTCTTATCTTATTGTTAGTACAATGATAATTTTTATTTATATTTTGCCATTGTTGCGCCCAGTATATATAATTAACTTATAAAAAAATATACTTTAAAGTTACTAGAGCCAATGCCTCCATTGCTGCTTCCAAAGCTTTCATTTCAGCTTCGATCACTTCTGGTGTTCTTTCAGAATCGGGTGCTGGAGGCGGTGCCTTGTATGGTTTGGAAAACGATACAGGTTTTAATTCTTTAGGAATTTGCACTGTAAAGAAAATAAATGTTAACATTTAATATACATAATAAATTTCTGTAATTAAAATAATTATTGCTCACAAGTGGTGAGCATAATATTTCTTTTCATTTCTTTCGGTTGTGGTGGCTGATAAATTAAATCGATGTGTAGTGCACCACCGAGTATTCTGTATTTTCGCAAATTTATCTCCGTCTTTTCGCAGCGCGTGAACAGAAATTTTCTAATCTCTTTTCGCGTTTCATCTGGAAGAAAAGGAAACAATAACATTCTTCTCAACAATAACTTTTTACTGTTATAATAATTTCAATATTTTTAGGCTAAAATACAATAAGCGTCCAACAAAATGAAAATAATACAGTGAAAAATTGATTGCCACTAACAATAAGTTGAACACCTAATTGTAGGTGTCCCAACTTTATAAATAGAAAAGGTTTCTTTAAACATTTTTCAGTTTCTCTTTTCCATCTCTTTCATTTTTATTATATTTACATTGACAATACTATGGCATACACTAAATTTGGTACAGAATATTATTTATTTAATCACATTAAGCTGTTTCTTTAATACATGTACACGGACATATACGTACACACAAATTAAGAATTAAAATTGTAATGAATATATCAATTCTCTCTACTTATTACAATTCGAGAATTGTACCTTCTTTTTGTAGAATAATTTCATCTGGTGTAGGCAGATATGGTAATTGTTCCGGTTCCTGTTCCAATTCCAGACGCTTTGCACCTGGAATACCTGGCTTTTTCTGCAGTTTTCCTTTCCTTTCGGGCTTTGTAGGCATCGAAATTGGTGGATTCTCCATTCTCTCGAGTATAGCTTTCTTTTCCTCCATTCGAAGCCGACGGCCATCGACCTGTTCCTCGCGTATTTTCAATTTCATATTATACTCGTTTTGACAATAAGTAAAAAAATCTGAAACATGCGCAAAAAGAAAGAATTATAATAACTTGTATTCCTTCCTAAAAATGAAGATATTGATAATATATTTATGTCCTTCACATAGCATAATACTTTTATGTAACATGTTTCATATACATCTAATTGTCAACTGTATAATATGATAATTCTTAGAAAATCGGTAAAATTGATTCATCATTCTTCTGGTAAATTTACTATCACATTAATTTTACAATATCACATTTCTAACTTTCTAACAAGGAAACCTCACGAGGTATTCCCTTTCCATCTTGATTCATTAATGTTGTTTTCTTGACAAAAATAAGAAGAGAAAACCTGATTTTTTCAAGGGGGTGTTTCACACCCTAAACATGCTGTGGGCACGTTTAAAAAAGTATGTATACCTTATTTTTATCTAGAATTTTTATCTAGAAAAGCTCATCAAGATCGAAGGGGGACACCTCGTGAGGTGTCCTTGTCAGAATAAAAGTTAATTGTAGTTTTTATATCTAAATTAATAAATCAAGTAGAATAAAATTTGCAAATAGATTATCATTTGTACCTATGGTGTACATGCTCTCATATTCCTCTGGTAGTTTTGGCATAACGTACGAGGTTGTAGAATCAGAGTAATGATCATACTTTACCCATAACGCACGTATCGCCATACAATAGCAATCGATATCTATAGGCATTTTGACAGTCAGTTCTATTTCTTCAAATTGTACTTCAATAGGTTTTCTGTTAAAATAATCGAGTTATTGTTACAGGTCAATGTTGAATTAAGTTGATTATGACACATTTATGTAATGTACAATGTAATATGTCGCAAGAAATATACATATACCTTTATACATATATAATATTATATATGCAAAATTACTAAATGTCAATACGTGCCGATCTTTTTCGATGACTTGTTTAAGTGCAATAGGCAATTTTATCAAAGCCCAAATGCAACAACTGATTTGATCAGAAATGTTAGTGTATCTCGCCGTTTTTATGCTTTCACGGACCATATCCCTTTCTATCTGACGCAAAAGAGAGTAACACGCCGCGTTTATCCAGTCTTGAAGTTTATCACGAAATCGCTGCCTGATCTATTAAATGTTTAACATTAATATTTTTTGTATGTAAGAATCATATACGTATAGATAGTAAGTTGATTAAATATTCTTACTCACCATCTTGCATTCAATTATATAATCTGGGGAACTGGTCAAAGAGAATTGTATTATTTCGTTGAGTTTTGTCAACAACTGTAAAGAAAAATATTTAATTGTTTATTAAAGTTTTACAAATTAAAAATTGTCTTTATTTAATTACATCAGAATTGCTAGATGACTTGATTATTTAAAATTGACATACATAAATGATAACATTGTATTTTGTAATAAATTTGTTCATGTTAATTTTCTCATCTTCCATTGACCACAAAAATATAACAGTAGTCATTTCGGATAAACTACCAGGGTCTGGTAAACCATCACAAGTCAGATATCTAGTCCACTGAAAATAATTGCTTCTTTGTAATTCAAAGTATTACTTTGTACAAGTTAGGCGTAATAATGTTTAATGAAACTTATAATTCAAGCTTAATTCATTTTTTGTCTAGAAAGTAATTTAATGGCTGGTTATACAACGTTAATAAACGCAATGTATGTATTAAAATGGGAGAAAATATGTTTGTAGCGTTAGCACTTTATATATTTATTTATTATAAATATGCAAAGAAAAGAAGGTAATATTTACATTCGCCTCTTCTTCAGTAGCAGTTAAATATTTTTGAAAAGTACTTTTGTAACCGTGAAGCATGCACAATGTCTCTTCCAATTGAATTTTTCGCATCGCTGCCTCTCGTTCTTCTAGCAATACTTGTCTCTCTGTATTGTATTTTTCCAATCGAATCTCTTCCTGCATATCTTTAATCATCTGTAGCCTATATTAAAAACCTTTTGTTACTATACTAGTAAGAGCTCGAAGTAAAATGTAATTTTGTGCATCAATACACCCTACTAATATTAACAATTTATTAATTTCAAAGGAATCTCCTAATGAGAACGTATGTGTTCGTGCGCGCATGTGTGTGGTAAAAATAGCTAGAAAATAAGTTGATCTATGTTGTGTATTAAACGTATAGATTAATATACAATAGATTAATTTATAAATTAATATAAAGAAAGAAATAATAAACAATTTTTATTCTCTAATTATTTAACGCTATCGTTGCACTAATTTTATTATGCTACAACATTAAGTAACATACAAAAATTTAATAGGTAAATTAAAATTATCTGATTATTAATTTGTATCCTAATATTTTATTAAATTATATAATTTCAGTAACCAAACTTAATCATATTTTTGTGTAATTACTTGTATATGACCTTACCTAATTCTTTCAGCTTCAGCGGCTGCAGATGCCGCTTGCTCTTTTTCTAACGCTTTGCGTGCTTTTTTAGTCATTGTTTCAATCTGTATAGGTTTAGGCTAAATTGACCAAACGATGTAATTATCTTTTATCTTAATAAAATCTTTATGCAAAACGTGTGCAACAACTGATACCTGAAAAATAAAACATTGTCTTAGTCGCGATATTATGTATTGCATTGTTCTGCATATTTGTAAAATTTGAAAAATGTTAAATGAAAGAGCGAAGGTAGTCGCAATTTCATAATTTTTGAACTTAATTAAAAGATGTCTATAAAAAATATAACAAATAAATGTTCCTGTCTATTATTCTAAGTAATATTTTTAAAAACTAAAATATTTTAAAATATTAAATAACATTAGTACTATATATAGGTATAATATTATTAGACTACTACTTTTCAATTAAAGTATTAATATTATATATATTCTTTCTATGTATATTTCTTATATATACTATTGATTAAATACATTTAAAATATGTATATAAGATAGATCATAAAGTAAAAGATACGTGTATACAATAATAGTATACAAAGTCCTAGATACACTATATGGTAATACAAAATACAGAATACAAAAATAAAGATAATGTTTTTAGAAAACGTTCAAAAAATATACAACGTTGTTTGAACATATTTACCTGTGTCGCACGCCATTCACGTAACTAAAACAAATTAATAGACAGAAGTGAGAATATTATTTTTATTTCTATAAAGAATATGGTTTAATTATTTGAAATTTTTTTTGCAACAGTTGTTGTTTTAATCTTTGAATATATACTCATACCTTTTATAGTACTAATTCTTATTAAAATCTTAATTCTTATCGAAAATATACATATATATACATAGAATGATATGTATATCATCATTATTTATAAAAACATTGTATATTTAATTGATTAATACAAATAATACATTTATTGAACATAAAAATTTAATTCATGGAATCGTTAAACAAATAATAAATAAATGAAATGAAAACATTTTATTTACAATATAAATTTTGCTCTTTTCTGCTATGCTAAAATACATGAAAGATGTTAATCTAAGTATATTACTTTATATTACGTCAACATAAATAAGCAATGAAAAATATGTTATACTTAAAGAAAACAGAATGAGAAATTTTTTTTTATATTTTTTCTATTCAAAAGAATATCGTAATTAATATTTGATTAAAAAAATTGATGTAATTACCTATTAAATAACACAATTAAAACATACCAGTGATGAAAGAGTTGGTAGTTTTTTTGTCTTCGGTAATTTGTATGGTATAAGATCCTTGTCTTCCTCGTATTCATCATACACAGTTTCAGAATTCAAGTCGAAAGGCGAAAAATTAATATTCCCAGGAAATATGATCTCGCCTTGTACCTGATTTTTAGTTCTGTTCTTTGTCTCATTGACTACTTCTGTTGGGATTACAACACCACTTTGAAGCGAATCTCTATAAACAGAAAAATTTCGATATAAAGCAAAAGTAAAAACCTTGTGTCTTTAACACTAATAATTAATAAATATGAGGGTTTCTTAAACAATTGTAGAATTCAGGTTATCAATGATAGCTGCAACTTTTACGTAAACTATTGTATTATTTGATTTCGTACTTTACATCAAGAATATTTTCAGGATTAGAAAGAATCGAGCTGACAATATCGATAGAACGCGATGATTTATCATCCATTCTTTTTTCAGATTCCATGTGTATACTTATGTTATGCAAATGCTGCACTTTATAGTATGCTATTATATGGTTACTAATAAAGAATTTCACACAAAATAATGGGAAATTAAATGTACAATAAGTAATATTGCGTTACAAAAGAGAGAAAATTATCACACATGAAGAAGTTATGCAATTACTGTGCGAACGTGAATTAAACTCTCGATGAGTTAGTAAGTTTTAACAGCGAGGTTAAACAAGAATATGTCAAACGTAACGAAACATATAGATACATATAGATACCCATATAAGCATGTATGTACTCGTATACTAGGGCCGATATTCATAGTCAGATTTTATATTTAAGACCGTCTTGAATTTATCTAAAGGTGCTGTATGGAACATTTTATTGGCTACGGAGTATCTAAAGATGATCTTAAGATAGACTTGAATATAAGATCTGACTATGAATATCGGCCTAGGAATCACTGATGCCATCCCATATGAATTTAGGTACCTGCATACATTTCTTATACATTCTTCATATATAAAAGTATTGATATGTGCGCAAATTCATGTGGGAAGGCATTAGTGATCCTTAGTGTACATACAGACATACATATGTATGTACAACGTGTGTGAAAAATTCGATGCAATGTTTTCTTATTCTTACATACAGGGTGACTAACTTTAACTGAATCACGCGTAGAGGATAGATACAACGGAGCAAACTAATAATGAGTAGAAAAGTCGTGTAGCATGTACATATTATTTTGTAAAATTTGTAATAGTTCTTGGGTAATAAATAAAAACGTCTAGTTTACATCTCCCTACGATTCGATGAACGAAGAGCGAGAGGTGAGCGACACGCGGCGATACGAGAACACTTTTAGTGATTCCTATTTACTTACATCGTTATTGCATTATGATTTAATAAAATTCGCTTTATCTATATCGATATCACTTTTTATTTACATCAATAATTAAAATAATGCAATCATTAAACTTTACTTACTGAATGAAAACATGGATGGCCTATTATAGAGGTAGCAAAGCGTCATTATAAAAAAATAAGATGCATCTTAAGAAGAATGGAGAGTCTTACTGCAAAATTGTAGAATTTTAGTTATTCCGAATTCACTTCTTACGTTGCAAAATGTTTTTCAGGCACTAATAGTTTTTACGTACAACTGAAAATAAAAGATTAATTACACATAATGTAAAGTTCAAATCACACCAATAAGCACTGCTTACAGAAGAATCAAACACAACACACTGCACACAGGACGAAAATAATGTTATCATGAAATTTAAATAACGGCAAAACTGCATGTTAATAAAAACAATTTGGAGCAATTAATAAATAGACGAAAAGTTAAAGACAGCACTACGTGCTGTCACGAAGTGTTATGTACAATAGTAGTAGAAGCTACGTACACGTAGCTCTGTTTGGTCGATAGTGGTGTCAGCTGGAAATAGGACGTAACATAAACGAAAATATTACGTTTACATATAACCTGTTTCACTAAATGGATTTCATATTTTTACTTAGTTACAAGTTTTAAACTTAGCTGTTTTCTGATTTAGTCCAAATAGTGGGATACTTTCGATCTGTACTTACTAGTTATACTATGATATAATACAAATATTTTTGTGAACTGGCAGCTCTAGATGCAAAAAGTGCAAAGGGTGCAAACTTACTCCAGCATCCTCTTAAAAAATATTGGAAATAGTAATTTGTTTCCTGTTGCTTTTGTTTGCCATACAATAAAACTATAGCATATGTAACTATATGTAACTAGTAGATCCTTCCCCTCTCCATATTCTGTTACAGATCCTCTGTATGTTACAATATACAAAAATTTTCAATAATTGGAGCACTATTGCAACATATTCCTGAGACCAAATCAAGTAAAAAAGTCCTGTACTACTTTTCCCCTCGAAAAATAGTTATCACAAGCTAAACATTGAATAAGTTAGAAATTTTCTCTTAAACATCTCAAAAAGTAATAGGCAAATCAAAAAAATGTTTCAGACAAAAGTTATTCATATTATTTATTAGAATAAGATAGTATGATAAACAATAGGGGATTCCATTAAAAAAATTGAAGGTGACCTTCACGTGACCTTCAAGCAACTATTTAAGGTCAAAGTAATGACACCATCTTATGTCCCCCTCGAAACCTAACAAATTTTACTTAGGACATTTTTTGCTACCTTCCATCTCCGAAGAGATATTTGCGTGCGTCGATTAAAATAACTCATCCTATATACAGGGTG